AACTTTTTTATAAAGGTTGAAGGTTCAAATCCTTGAATCTTGTAAATTTGAATATAATTTGTCAAGATTTATATGTAGGTTATTGTGGGGAGCATTTTTTTCCATGGAGGTTGAAGGTTCAAAACCTTGAACCTTAAAATGTTTCTTTAAAATTTCCTTTACAAAAGAAGGGTAAAATTGTATGTTAACACTTTTAAATAATTAAATTTCCTTTTCTTTTGAAGAATCTGGTCAAAGGGATTTTGGAAAAAACATATAGAGGGTTGGCCAACCGAACTAATTCCCCATCGAATAATAGGGAAATTTGGATAAGAAAATCAATCTTACCCTTTTGTCATACTAGTGGAGGCACGTGCAAAGCACGTTTTCGAGTTTATTTGGGTACTAAATAGCATGTGTAATATGTACTATAGTGAATGCAGTACAAAAAAAAGACCATGAGAAAGAGTAAATTCTAGAGTAAGAAGGTATGAAAATGCAGCCTAGGATCCAATTCTCAAGTAAAGAAAGATCTAAATGACACAACCACAAATTATATTCAAACCAATTCAGGTGGGCAGTGGATAGTAATACCATGAATTTTGTGGCAACTATTGTATGATACAGAGCAACAATTTTGCATACACTTACCGTGAAAGAGAGTATTTGTGACTACTACTACAGTTATTCTTCTTGACATACAGAAACATATGATACAGAGAACAAAAGACCTGTTCATAATCAGTGATGTGCCATTCTCGGTAATTGGCACACTAAAGTTTATAATAAGCAAGCATCAAACACATTAGACAGAAAGGCAAACAATATAAAGATAACACACACACACACACAGAGGATGGACATACCGGGAAATGTCTGGGGAAGAATAACAAATTTTCTAGAGATATGAAACCACCGCCCCTGAAAGAGCACAACATCATATTTGAAGGTTACAAACCTGCTAGAATATTTCGATAGTAAATGAAAGAAATTTTTTAGACAAGGAAACTATTGAGCATGTTGTCATTAGTGTTGTTTACACGTGCATATGAGTACATATTGATCATTCATATCTCATCAATAACTGTGAAATATCTTCGGCTAAATAATAAAAATGTTTTGCGACGACTTATTGGCAAATAGTAATGGTTCAGAAAATAATAACATTACATATTTATTGAATTTAAGTCCAGTTACTAAAATTAAATATTCAATACCTGAAGTGTCTTTCCAACCCCCATTTCATTAGCCAGCAAGACACGCACTCCACGCTGCAATATAAATCATTCACTACATAATCCACATGTTTTTAAATCCTTAGTCAAAATAAATATTATCGCAAAAAACATGCAATACGACCAACCATGAAGGATCCACAGCCCGCCTGAAATTGTCATGGACATCAAGAAAACTCTGACGTATAAACAATGAACTCTTGCTAGACTCCTCAAATTTCTTCACCATCCCCATAGGCAACCCCTCTGGCAACACCTCATTCAACTGCTCCATACTACAAATGAAACCAAAACTCAAATCACCATTTCATCCATTATTCATGATTGCAAATTTTCATTCATAATTAGTAAAAACGAAGCATGAATAACCTTTACCACTTACTCAACATTAAGGAGAGATCATCCCAATTTTCTGAAATTGCCACACACCCTCCCCACCTCCCTTACCCACATAAAAGAGAAGTAGGAAAAGGGAAACTTGAACCAAGTACTCAACAGAGAAGTGATGCAAATAGGCAAATGATACAATGGTATGTGACATTTGAATAAAGGAGAATTACTAAAAACACCAGAAGGTAAGTTGTATTACAAGCATATCTGAGGATCTGATCGGGGAATAGTTTGCAGCAAGAACAGATAGTCAGGTGTATATCCAACATGTACCAGCATAAGCATATTTGTTTATCTGAAATAACTATAAGACTGAGCAAAATGAATGACATTTCTTCATCGGAGTTAGATATCAATGCCACTGTAGGTAAGTATGATGTTCCTTCGTTCGAGTAGCAAGCAGAGATTCTTGGATGACGAATGGAATTATTCTCATCATTAAAGACAGGGTCTTTAACTTCATCATCAACAGAGAAACTTGCTTGCTTCTGCCAACAAAAAGATTCAAGATGGAAGTACATTTGGAAACATACAGATATTTGTACGGCGGCCAAAGAGTTGATTTATTCTCAAGGTAGTGAAAACAAGGATTTCTTAATTTCTTTAACCTTCTATTCCACGAAATCTAATTTCCAAGTTTAATGAATTGATTTGATCTGTACAAGAGGCCCAGCTAAATGTTACTGGGTCAGAAAAAAGTAGTTATCATAGTTTCAGGTGAATACCTCACAATATGAAGTGGACACCTTTTCTGTTGGATCAAGTTGGTAAGAAGAGCTTGGAGAAAAGGTGATATTCTACCAACGAAGACAAAGTTCCGGGGGGGGGGGAATTAAAAGAAGATTAAAAGTCCTTAAAAACTTCATCTACAAAAAGTTCAGAGAACTAACCGAATCAGAAAAGCTAATTCCTAAAAATATAAGAAAAATGGATTAATAAAATAAAGGTTAATATCCCAAATAGTCACCGAACTTGTCCAAAAGTTCCCATGGGGTCACTGAACTTCACCTCTACCGTTGAACTTTGTAAATTTTGACCTCAACCGTCACTGCCTCAAAATCAAACGATTTTTGATGATGTGTCAAACGGAGTAAGTGACGTGGTGTGGCGTACAATTTCTTCGCCAAGTAAGAAAAATAAAATGAGTTGGACGATCTCTCTCTTCTTTCTTCCTGAACTGGTCCAATTAAAGAAGTCCGACCGTGTACAAAAACTTTATTCCGGATTGAAGGCTGAATTGGATCAATTGTTTATAGACCCATGTTCGTTTGCCATTGATTATGGATTCCCTCAAGTGAATTTTTTTATTGAAGTAGGAGGGATCGACCAATTTTGGTTTGAACAGCAACAGCGACAGGTTTCACGCCATTTGCCAATTCAGAAATTGGAGCGATTTGGGGAATAACTTGTGCAATTGAATTCACACCCAGGGTCGTGTGGGCCTGTTGTTGGATCGATTAATGCCAATTTGTAGGTTCACATCAAGTTGGGGCTGAAATTGAAAGAGATAGATTTGAAAAAACTGGAGGCGCGACAGTCGGAGGTTCATAGGCTAGTACAGATTGATTGGACAATGTTTTGGTTGAGGTGAAGCAATATTTGAGGTCGTCTGGTCGGAGCTTCCTAATAGTGGTGGTGCGCGACCATGGATGTTGCCGGAGGTTGGGTTTTCGGCCAAGATAGCTTGCGTGAGTAGGCTATTTCGGCTTGATTTTGTGGCTGATTCCGGTGGGTTGTGATCTGTGGTGCGGTGGAAGATGTTAGGGGGAATGGGGTGACGGCGGTATAGGCGGCCGAACATTGGTGGTTTGAGGTGTCTTGGTTGGCGGCTATGGTGGAATCCGGTGAGTTTGAGAGATTGTCCACCTTATCACATTTTGCTTACTTGGTGAAGAAATTGTACGTCATGTCACTTACTCCCTTTGACACATCATCAATTTGATTTTGAGGCAGTGATGGATGAGGTCAAAATTTACAAAGTTCAGTTACTATTTAGGATAGAGGTGAAGTTCAGTGACCTCATGAGAACTTTTGGACAAGTTCGGTGACTGTTTGGGGTATTAACCCAATAAAATAATAACAACATCATATACCTGAGAGTTACCTAAATTAGAAAGTTACTTGAATTGTGTAAGAATAAACATACTCTGGAGTAAAAAATATATATTTTCATTTGAAGATCTAATTGATCTACCCTAAGCCCATAGAACGTTTTATCTTTGCAATGACCATGAAAGTAATCTGCAACCCATAAACAAAATTTAGGCTATTGAATTCAGGAAGCAAACATTGCAAATTGCAAGTGAAATGGTGAAATTGAAGGAAATGGGAAATAAGTAGTTGAAATGAAATTCATTTGGGAAAAGGTAAAGTTCACATTATTTAAAGAAGATTACCTATCTCTAATAGTAAAATAAACCGTGCTAAAAAAAACTTGCATAAATGAAGCCGTTGTCCTTTGTTTCATTCCCATCATCCAATACTATAATTATCCAATTGACAGAAAACTTGGTCGCCAATGCACATAAATTATTTTCATGATTAGTTATGCATCAACTTTTATACATACAAAAACTGATATTTGAAAAAGCTAATAAAATATAAATTTTGTGGTCATCTAGTTGAGAAAATCGGTAAAACCCAATCTCAAATGCACTTACAATGTATTATAGTTAGGTAGCCAATGAATTTTACATACAGATTATGATAGTTTAAAAAAATATATAGAAATAGAAATTTATCTGAAATCTTGTTTACTTTATTTCCAAACCTCTTAAGTGTATTTGATTAGCAATAGAAATGCCTATTACGAGACATCAGAATTTAAGCTAACTGCAATTATCTCACTCATTAATATTAATATCACTTTTGGAGGGAAAGCTAATGACTGCAGAAAAAGACTATATTTTCACCACTTGATGCAGTCTTTTTCATCTTGATGTGAAAGTGCACAAGCATTGTGATGGAAAATATATCTAACTACAATTTCATGAAGCTTCAGTACAAAAATATACAATTATTCATGTGATTCTAACACAAGTGTAAAATTAAAATAGAATAGCCTAATGATAGCACGACTTTTCATGAATTTTTATGCAATTAATTACAAATTTGTTCGTTCCATGATAACTCAATTTTAAAATATTCATAACAAGTCAATCATTACACGAGTTTGACAATGTAAAATGGACATGTCTCATCCGTTCCAAGTGAAGAACAAATATAAATGAGAAATTAATAAGAAACATATCCAAATCATATCATACTTAAAAAAAAATCTGTACAACAAATCTAAGAAAACAACTCAAAATAATAACATAGGATTTGTACAACAAATATAAGCGTGCCTTCCACTTCAGAATGTAGGGAAATTAAACGCACAATCCATTACTCACCTCGGTAAATGGTGCAGTCATAAAATCAACCAAGATTGAAGATTGACCTAGATCAACCTAAATAAAATTAACCGAAGTAAACAAGAATTAGGTAGAGAGATCCAGCACTCAAATTTGTATCTCATCAAAGTTCAACTCTTCAATTATTCGTCCTTAGAGTGGGGTGCGATGTCAAAGATATTTCGACTGCTAATGGAACAAAATCAATTTCGCAAGAAAGTCCCACCATTAATTCCCAACAAAAAATGATTGAAAACAAAAAACAACTAATACAACACCAGATTGGAGTATGAGAAAAAGCCATGGAAGACTACTGAAAATAACAAACGGACAAACAAAAATTACAATCATGATAATTTGCTTGCCAATCTACACTCAAACGTCATATCCACATGCCACCAAATTCATTCAAATTCTACTTGATTCAAATTCCACAAGTAGGAATAACAATTCAACAAATCCACAAAAAAAAAAAAAAAACACAAAAAACGATTTTTTNAAAAAAAAATCACCTTAGACGAAAAGATTCAGGATGATTATTGATATTTTTAGGTATGCTTTAAATCAAAACATCTAATCTAAAGAAATAAAAGGCAATTGTATACAGTCGAAGCTGGTCGAAATAGGAAGTGCCGCACTGTGTTTGTGTGTCAGAGACACCGGCCGTGTCTGTGAGACACAGAGGCACCGCGCGGTGCCTGCGAGTCACGGTGCCTTTGGTGGAGCCTCATTGCCGAAAAAATGGAAAAATGAACAAGTTACCTTTCAGGCAGCGACAATGTCGAGGATAGATGGTTGTACTGTCAACTCTGTGAATTGATTTTGCAGAGAAAATACGGCTGTGGGTTGTGTTATTGGGCGGTTTAGGGGTGGGATTCAAGCAGCGACATAGAAAATGAACGCAGTGTGAATTTTGTGAATGGAATTGATGGATTGGGCAAAGAATGGGTCAGGAGTGTGCGGTTTAGAGGGTGGGAAATGACGAAAAAATGTGGGGGAGGAAACGACGTCGTGTAGGTTGACAATTCAAAATTTCAACATCTGACATGAATAGTGCTTTCCCAAACTGGCTCTTTTAGATGATAAGGATTTGGAGGAATCAACGATGAAAGCCACTGCTTCCATTTCTCCTCTCTTCTTCTTCTCATTAATCACTTCAATTTGGGTATCAGCTACAGTAAAACCCACCTCAACCGACCCAACTCCAACCCCATGGCCCCTTCAATTCCACTCCATTCTATTTGTAAACTACAGCGGCTCACTCAGCCTAATAGACCTCTGGTATGATTGGCCCAATGGTCGGAACTTCAACATTATCCAGCACCAGTTGGGGAAGCTCCTATATGACGTTGAGTGGAACAACGGCACAACTTTCTACTACACAATCGACTCCATATAGGAATGTCGCTCTAACCAGCTGGATGTTGGGATTCTCCGGCCCAATTGGCTCGACGGAGCCACCTATCTCGGCCAGCAATATGTTGACGGATTCTTGTGTAATGTCTGGGAGAAGGTCGACTTCATTTGGTACTACGAGGACGTTGTCACCAAGCGGCCGGTCCATTGGGTTTTCCACACTGGTATTCCATTCCATTCTTTTGTTTCTGTTAATTTTGAACTGTATATGCTACTGATTTTTCTTTACTTTTAGAGGATTACTGAAGAATGAATCAATTTCTTAAAATGTGTGTCATTTTGTTAGAGTTAATCAAGTAACTATAGAATTTTCAAAACCAACTGCTTTTTATCTGGAGAAGCCAACACCTGTCCATGAAAAACTGGCTCTTTTATGATAGTTAGGATATTGATTATAAGTACTTTTTTCATATATAATTTAAAGTTCATTCACTAGAACATTAGCTCATTTTCATGATGGAGGACACAGGTGAAACTGAAGCACATATTCTGAGAATATTTTAGTAACTGCAGTTGATTGTTCATGTCTTAATATGTAACAATCATGCTACATGTACAGGGCCACATGGGCCTTGTACTTACAGGGGCGCCACTTAGGTGGGGGGTCTGCCGGTGGCCCTGTACAACCATTATAATCCAACATGTAATGCTGCAATGAAATCTTTTTGACTGAGAAAGGATAATGATATTTGTGCCGATTATTGTTTCTTAAAATCTTATCTTCTAAAACTATTAATTATTGAAGGGAGACACCTAACTAAATTATGTCTCAATCATCACAATTATAATGTCAATAGCAAGGGCTGAGTACTACTTGATGACACTTGAACATCTTCTAGATCAACTCTCTTTATCTCTATTTGCCACCTCCCTATTGGGGGCAGTAGATTCAGCGGCAATACATATCCAAGAATTGAAATTTCAAAGCTAAAATAGTCATTCTAAGCAAAGTAAATCAAAGAGTATGTCTGGGTTTGTATGTCCTCAGATTTTTGTCGTGTGATTCATATATAGTAATGTTTGTTAAAATATGCCAAAATTTTTTATTGATACTCCATCTGTCCACAATGATTGACTTGTTTTCTTTTTTCATTTGTCCCAAATTATAGGCCACTTCCTTGTTGAAAGTAAATTTGATTTCTTAGTTTTGTAATAGGTCCCTATTTAATGTGACATGTTTTAATTGATATTTTATCCCTTAGAGTGAAACTCCCTATTTGTCTCCGGTAAAATTTGTTAGGTAAAATTCATTTGATGTATTCCTTCATTTGTTGTCTTTTTTCTCTACCACTACAGGAAGATCTATTCATGTAATGACATTTGAAGTCGGAGCTGTGCTCGAGGATGCAAAGTGGCAGGCCCCTGTGTATTGTTTTGAGAAAAAAGATGTTAAAACCAGCTACAATTTCGACTACAAAGAGCATGTTAATTTTCTGAAACCCAAGTTGGAAGGTGTTCTTAGAGGGTCAATGTAGCTTTAGATGTATTGTTGCTGGTTATCACTAATTTAGGTCTCCTTGCATTGAGCTACCTTGTTCTAGTTTCTTCTCCAAGATCTCAACCATTTAGCTAATTTCCACCTATCTCTGTTATTTGTTTCAATAAAGGCTTTATCCAATGCTAGCCAAGTTTAAGATGTATAAAGTTGAAAATAAATGTATTCACTTGATGCGCAAAAACATTATCCTATTATTATCTTTCATAATCCTTGCGTTTACAAGAACTTGTTGACAGCATATATCACTAGAAGTTTTGCTGTTACACACCTTGCTAGTTGGTAAACTATGTATGACTAATCGACTATATGTGTAAGAGTATGTTTGATTGCACCTAGGAAAATTGCGTGGAAAAAAAATGAATTCCTGGGAAAATAATTGCTTAGAACTTATTTTTCCAGGAAATGTCAATTAGTTGCATTTGATTGATATAATTTTCCACCTAAAAAATGTTGATATTTTATATCTTTTGGTGTTTGATTGCCTTTGTTTTTTTATGGAAAATTATGATTTTTTCTATTTTTAACTGTTTGATAGGCTTTGTTTTCCATGAAATTTTTTTTTCCAACTATTGGTGTTTGATAACCATTTATAATTTTCAAGAAACNAAACCATGAACAAAAGATAATGTGAAAAAATGGTTTGAAATTGAGTAGTGTAAAGAAAAATAATGTTTTACCTGAGTAAAATTCTTCAGCGTTAAATGATAGAATTTGGTCGAAAAAAGTTGTTCATAAAAGACAAAATGATAGATTTACTAGCACTAGCACCTGTCTGTCTATGCTGATTTCTCGAGACTCTACTTTTGGCAATGGAAAGAAATGGGAGCTTCTCAAAGTGCACCTAAGAACAAATCTTGTTTTGAGCTTGTCATTGTGGTTTAAATAATCAACTGTCCTAGGCAAATTGCACAATCAACTTGATTGTATTCAAACTCCACTGACTTAACCCAGGCTACTGATTTCTGTGGAAGGATGAAATGTATACAATCAAGGCAATATTAGCAGTTTTCAAAAATAATATGCGTATACAAAAATGAGCAAAAAACATGGCATTGGAACATGCACTACTAAAATTCCCATCACACCTTTTCTCCCAGAAATTGAGCTTCATTTATCAACATGGGTGGTTCTGTTCCAAGAGTTATCCAACCATCAAATCCTACCAACTGCAAAAATCCCAACATTTTGGAACATTTCACTTTGATATTCAATCATAACACAAACATCAGCTGGGCTGCAAAATCCATCAACAAAAACCAACCATTTTCTAAAAATACCTCAAGCTCTTGAGAGACCATACCAAAAACTATCAATCGAATATTTACAAAACACTGCACCCTAGTTTGTATGTGTGTGCATTACAAAAAAACATTCAAAAGACCACGTACGTGGATTAAGTTTTACAAATTTGTGCAATCTACGATAGTGGAGGCGGATCACGACCAAGTTTGTCAAAAACCAAAGCACGCATGTATTTCTCGTTCGTCAATACCTTAGCCAAACCATCGTCGGATCGAAAGGCTTTCATGACTTCCATTACGTCCTTCATGTCTAGGTTCATTGCCTCCAACTTCTCTACAATCAATTGCCAGTTTACATGACTCTGTTTATCAAGCGTAGCTTGCATTTCCATAGCTTGAGCAATTTTTGTAGATGACTCGGAAATCCTTGATAGGGTGATATTACTCTCATCCACCGGTTGTGCACGGCGACACTTGTCTTTGTTGTTTCCCTACATTAAAGAGATAACAACTTTTTNGCAATTTTTGTAGATGATTCGGCAATCCTTGATAGGGCGATATTACTCTCATCCATCTGTCGTGCACGACGACGCTTGGCTTTATTGTTCTCGTCTTTGGCGGTATGCTTACGACCATGAACTGGACTAGGATCCATCTCTACATTTTCCATATCTAACTCGTTCAAACTTTCATCAGTTACTATATTAAAGAGATAACAACTTATTTGAAGTTTATACATGAATACAATCGAAGTATCGAATTATAAAATATATTGCATACCATTCATTGGGGAGAAATGGTCGAAACCAGATACTGCTTGATCTCCGGTGGCAGCATCATTGCCAAAGATAGTCTCCATCTCATCATATCTTGGACAAAGTTTGGTCTTCCACTTCCCAAATTCTGGCTTTCCCTGCAAAATAGCCTTGTGAGTGTATTGTAACTGTCCTAGAACATCTAATTTCCCAGTAGCTACTAGTAGCAATGTCCAAAAATGCATCCTAACTCGCACCTAAATAAAATTGTCCCAAGCAACTGCATCAACTACAATGCGTCCAGTTTGGGGATCCAACCCAAAACCGCTCATATTTAGCAACTGGCGAACTTCAGCATGCTCTTTTTTAAGAGTCTTTAACCTCGCACTTACATTCTTAGCTGAGACCATGACCCCACATCCATTGTTAACCCTGTCAATTACCTTAGATACTTGAAATGTAGTAAAGCCATTGTCACTTCGTTTGTGCCCAGCCAACACTTGATCAACGATTGAAGTGATCATAAAACCATCCATCTCATCACTCCAACGTACGTGACGAGTCCTAGCATTAGGATCGACTTGTGATCTACGAAAATCAATGTTATCCCCATATGAAAGGGTGGTCAGTCTGGGAACTGAAAAGGGCCCGTAGAACTTCGTCGATTCTATGCCATCAACACTGTCAAATGATAATAGAAAAATGTCAACATTAGCATAACTATCATGAGCAACAGAAAACATGAAAATAATGTAACAACAGTATACAACAAGCAAAGAGATTCGAAACTATATCAAAGATGCAAATTTAGATAGCTTTGGAATTAAGAAAACATTACAACATAACAAGTATCGAAGTCAATGTTACAACATAACAACATTTGATGCAACCTTAGTACGATCCTTAGAACTCTAGCAAGTTTAACTCCAAACATTACAGGGAAACACAAGTAATGAAATATAAAACATAGGAGATTCAATCAAAATCAATTCCCGCATTATGACTTGGATGGTAAGCCGCCCACATGTCATCAGCCATTGTATCCCTATTATTAGACCATGTACCATTTGCTGTAAAAGATATGGGAGCATTGGGTGTGTAATCTTCGGGTGCATCAACATGTCTAGGGTTAACCTCATCATCGCTACTATAACAGTCCTTGTCGCAAGGATCATCTGCGTCATAAATCCTTAAGAAGTTGTAAATGGCACAACAAGCAAGCACAATCCTTGCTTGTGTCTCAATGTCGTGGTATGGTTGATGCCTCAGATATGCGAATCTTTTTTTAAGCAGACCAATCATCCTCTCAACAACATTTCGTAGATATAAATGTCGAAAATTAAACAGTTTTTTCTTATTTTCAGGTTGATGTCCCTCAATGTCTCTACGATGGTACCGGATTCGACGGTAGGGCGAAAGAAATCCTAGTTCCAATGGAAATCTGGCATCGACAATATAATATTTACCTATTCCACACATGGTTGTTAAGTTATCGTTATTTATTGAAACATTTGAAAGTCAGATTATCGAACGAAATGGTAGATCTTACCAACATGAATTGTTAGCCTATGACCTTGTCGTAAAGTTGCACTCCTTAACAACCGACTGTCATGAGCGGATCCCTCCCAACCGGCAAGCACATACGTAAACTTCATATCAAATGTGCAAGCGAGCAAAACATTCTGAGTTATCATTTGCTTCCTATTGCAATACCTCGTTTGTTCCTCTATGGGAACAAACGCAAGAATGTGAGTACCATCAATTGCCCCCACAGAATCCTAATACGAAAACAGAAAAGTTTGGTTACATAAGGAATAGTGACCGGGAAGGAAAAATAAACAAAGTTAAATATTACCAGCTCACCTGAAAATATTAGAACCATGGCTTCTCCTTATCCTTTTCGTATGGTGAGTTATGAATAGTGGCATTGTTCACAACATCTCTGTACAATCCAAGGCAAGCATGTAAAACTCTATGGAAGTAATAACTCACTGTTTGGCCAGATCTAAAGAACGTAAAACTTCCAATTTGATTACGGTGATCATGTCCAACAGTGTTGAGAAATATAGCCACTCGTTCCTCTACTTTTATAGATCTATTGTCAAACAAACCATATGTTCGTAAACGAGCACATAGACTTTGAAACAGAGCTATCTTCATCTTCAGTAGATCATGACAAATGCTATCACTCGTACCAAAACAATTGTCTAAGTGTCATTTCTCTTTCAGAATCCGAATTTCTATGTGGTGCTCTAGGGAGTTGTCGATTACGATACCTGATGGTAGTATGTATTACAATTGCTTGCATGACCATCGTACAAAATAGGCCCAATTGTTGTCGTTGTCGATGACGTTGGTTCCTTGTGGTAGCCATGGTACTTCGAACGTCTAAAAAGTTTCAAGCAAGAGAAAATGAGAGATTTGTTCATGTTTGAAGATGATAAATTAATTGTGAACCTGAATTTATTTATTACTATACAATATATACTCAAGTGAGATGTCTTGACTAAACCTTTGCAATTTCTAAACTTCAATGCATGAAATCAATTAGGTGAAGGAAAACATTAATGAAGAGGGAAAAAGTGATTTCTTATGGAATAATGTGCTATTTCAAAAATGGAGGTCAGTAAGAATGTTAACAAGCAAGAGAAGACCTTAGCATTACGTAACATCGAGACAATATACTATACAAATGAACATAAAGGTCAAATGATTCAGAAAAGAGATAAGATAAAGGAGCAAATATAAACTAACATGGTGAGAATAATTTTCTATGTTGCATGTTGGTAGAGTAATATAAGAAAGCTTCAGAAATCATCAGAAAAACACACAAATACACCAAGACTGCAGATAAATTTAATGACATTATCAATTGGCACCAAGTGGTAAGGCTGTCAAGGAAACAATCATGTCAAGTAGTTCGGTGTTCAAGTTTGATTGGAAAATTACACAGAGACTTATGACTTCAATGGCTCGATTCATTTTTCAGACTTGGACCATTTGGAATACTAAACTAGTCACAATTGAATTCAGCTGAGAGCCAAAACAATAATAAAAATTATCTTGGTGATAGAAAATGGCAGAGGTAAATTGGAAAAGATAAATGCACCCCTCAATATGGTTGACGCACAGACATAAAAAGAGTCGAGGCCAAAAGCTATTATTTTGGCTTCTATTTTGCAATCCCCCATTTTGACCAGGAAACTAAAGTGAGTAAAATTTGGCTGATTACTTTTTTTTATGATTTAAATCATATCATATGCCTTTCATGGTTTTCTCCAGCTCACCTTGATCCAGTGGGGAAAAATCTATCTGGTCTTTTGTTTCATACTTCAGAAACAAAAAACAAATGAAATTGTTTTTTTTTTATATATATATAAAAAACCCCAGCTCTCCTTTGTCTCAGGGTTTTCCCCTCAAACAAGAAAACAGAGATGTAGATGTATCAATTAAAGACTTGCTTCTCATTCCATTCAAGTGACAATAATTCCCAGCCTGTGTCTTCCAGCAGGATAATCAACAAAATTATATCAGCTCTAAATTTTCTTAGTGGGCAACTAAAATTGCCTAGATTACTTGTCTGTTTGGAAAATTCCCACTCTTTTGGGCAACATACATATAAAAACCTTACGCATATTGAAGTCATAAACCAATCTTCTTGCTCTTCAATAAGTCATACAGATCACAGTGTTCTAACTTAATCCAAACAACATTCAAAGAAAATATTTCTGCACTGAATAATCTACCTTGCAAGTTCAGGTTCATTCCATTTTCCCTTTTCAAATAATGGAGTTTATTTAAACTAAACAGAAGTTGAGCACTTGCTAAGGTTTTGATTTCAAAGCCATTCAGTTCAAAATAGGAGCTGGGCAAATTATCATAGCTATTTAAAGACCGTGAGATGATACAACTATAAAGGGAAATACAGAAAATTGTTAATTGGTGAAAAATAATACTTGAATTTGCTGCATATGAGGTTCAACCAAGGCTCTTCCTTCAAGTACTCTCCCACTATTTTACATGGAGTGGGAGATGGGAATTAAAGGGTTGTTCCTTCTTACGCAGTTAAATGAATTTGTTTTGGGTCACAAGCAGAGATAAATGGGCGTAGAGCAAACCTGAATCGGCAACCCGATGGTTTGAAATTGGGGATTCTTGAGGGTTTTCCAGTTCCGACAGCTTCTATGTTTTCCTGGGTACCGAGAACGTGCTCTCATCCCCTTCAATGATAGGGTGTTGTGGTGATTTTCTTGGTGGAATTTGAGGATATATCAGAAATGCGGCGGAGAAGGTGAACGGGAGGAAGGCGTGAGAAGGAACTTCCCTTCTGATTTTTTTGGGTATCGATAGCTTCTATGTTTTCATGGGTACTGAGAGATGTCCTCTCCTCCCCTTCAATGATAGGGTGTTGTGGTGGTTTTTTTGGTGGAATTTGAACGTATATCAGAAATACGGCGGAGAAGGTGAACGGTTGAAAGGTGTGAGAAGAAAAAGGGAAAGTGGAGAATTGCCAAGAAAATGAAAAATCACCAGATCTAAAGGAATTCTAATTCCACGATTTCGTGGAATAAGGGGTCACGTGAGCCATTTCAAGAAAATTAATTCCCTAGAAAATTAATTTGTGTATAATATTTTCATAGATTCATTAATGATTTTGAGTTTGAAGCTCAAAAGAAAAATTTTGATCTTTAAATATTATTTTTAGGCTAACAAAATTTTGAAATGTTAACTAAGAATTGCAGCCCCAACAACTTAATTATGATATTGTCAGTCAAAATATATAATTTATACTTTAAAATCGTACACGTTAGAATAAAACGTGAAACATGTGTAGTAGCTTCACCAATATTTCCTCTCAAATCATGTGGTTCCACTTCCAATTAATGTTCTCACACGTTTCTTTAGTTTAGTCCATTAAATATATAAGAAAAAAGAAAGTCAGTCCGAGGATAGCCTAAAAATTTAATCCAAGTCTAAAAGTAGCTAGTTGTCATTTAAAGAGGTTCGATGGTAGATGTGTTAGAATGAGTGCTTTCCAATTTTTATATGGTTCGATTCTTGATTGTGAACAACTTAATTTGTCTAAGAACCCATGTCATGTAGTTTTAAACTTTTGAAGCAATTAGTTATCAGATATGACATGATAACTCGTTTATGTCAAATTGCATAAAATACAAGTCTCGACCCAACATTACTCATTTGGTACTCCTGCTAGTAAGCCGTACACGTAACTCTCTTTTCGAGATAGAGAACCCAAGTCAAGTCACTTCTGTTGGGCATCTTTTCAACTTGCAGGCTAGTTAACTCTAATTTACGGATATTCAAGAATTGGATGCTAAACAATTTCAGTCGTTCAAACAATGGACAAACACCATTGCAAGTCTTTCACCTTTCAAAAAGATGAAAGGTATTCATACTATAAAGAAGTAAGTATATATTAATATTTCTGTCCCGTTCATTTCTATGTCCCATGCACTGTACAAATATATTTAGTGGCTGGCCTAATATTCCTGCTCCACCAAAACAAAATGATATGACTTGGAGAATATTAGAAAGTTATTTGAGTGACATAGTGAGGGGATGTGAGGTCCACGGTGTCTCATTTTGTATTGTCAAAAGAATATATACGTTTGAATGTCCCTAGTTTGTATTGTTTTAGTGGTCCAAGCAAATATGGTTGGTTTGTATTTATTCAAACACATTGTTGAAGAATTTGCTCTTGTAGTTTTGCGTAACATGTGACTAAACGTATAGAGTTTTATTTAACTCTAACATTTTCAACATAGCTCCTAGCTCTAAAGCATATTGGCTACGGGTGGCATTCTAAACTTGTTTGACACCTTCCTTCTAGTTAGCTGGCCCCTGATCCACGTATTTTTACTATACAAGGTGTCTATCGCCAAAGTCTTCCTTCCCGTTTTCTACTCGATCCTCGGTAGAGTAGTTTATTAAAGCTTCTTCCAAAAAAGCGATATCGAGTCTTTCTCTGTAGCCACTAGAGCCTTTTTCGAGATTGTTAGGATTGGTACCACTTATTGTGACACCAATCACCAAATTGAGATGTTAAAATTATATGACAAAGTAATAAAATATTTGATCAAGAACAAAAGAATAAAAGAAGACAAGAATATGGTGGGGGAATTAGAAGATTTTATTGCATCAAGAGTAATGGAGAAGAGAGAAAAATATTACAATGATCCTAAAAGCTAGTAATCATAAATCTCACACCATAAAATTGTATAGAAGAACCTAATATTTATAGGAAACATGTATGGGACGCCCAATACCTCTTGGTAGAGTTGTTGATGAAGTAGGATGCCAAAAACTGAGTCCAAAACGAAGTAGAAGAAGAAAAAACGCAAAAAACACACATTCGGGCTAGAAAACTTGTTGCGGGCTCGGCACGGCCAAGGCCTCTGGGCGCCCGAGCTCGGCGCCCGGGTTTTGCCCATAATTATATGTGGCCCCGGCGCCATTTCCTTGGTGCCCGTCCCTCGGGTTAATGATCCAAAAAGTGTCTTTTGTCATCCAAAAGTTCTCCTTCAAGTCAAATTCCTAATTATTATTGAAATTTGATCATCATAACTTGACATGGACTCCAGTAACATTTCAAACTTGAATTCTTCATGATGTGTATTTCAATTAGAATTCTGCAATTACTTCAAATACTTCAACAAAAGAATTCAGGTCACACCCAAATTCCAACAATCTCCACCTTGAAATGAATTCCACCAAGGAATGAACTGACTTCTTCAACAATAATTAAAACTTAATTTCTCCAACAAAACACAAAATACAAAATACTCCACCTCTTCCAATAAATTCAAGTACTACTCTGCAGAATTACCTTAGATTCCAAAAATCACGATGATTTTGAATTTACCAAAATGGGCTATAACACACCCCAGAGTAGAATCATTACCAAATGCTTCTAAAGAAGGCTCCTTGCTGGATTGAACACATTTTTCTTCACTTAAAGCATGATCAACAAACTCAACATTCACATTAAAAAAAAGAAAAGAAAAAGGCAAACCAACCCCGGCTACTCCCCCGACCCCTACCATCAAACCAACCCTTAGCCTCCAACTTCTTCCCACCCCCTTGACCCTTGTTCCTCATATATCTCCCATCCCTGCTTGGGATGGTAGCTTGGCACACCCTGGGTAAAGACGGTTGACAAATGGGGAAGTGTTATTATTTTTATTTAATTGAGAACAAGGTATAAAATCTTTTCTAACAACAAAAAAAATATTTTTTTTTACAAGTAGACATAAACCATATTCTTAGGACTCAAGTGCTACAATCTTGAAGGTTTGGATCTCAAATGTTGTATTACCATAGGTTGTGGGACCTAGACTACAATCTCCCTAAAACTATATTAATAATTAATCCAATTTAAAATTTTAATCACTAGTAAATTAATCTTTAATTTCTCTTTCATCAAAGCATTTCATCCCTCTCCTTCAGAATTAGACTCGAACCTAGATCATTTCATTTTCCATCTCACTACTTGAGCTAGGTATTCAATTTTCAGTTTTTACCAGTTTGAAATATACACAAACGATAGTGCGAACACGCCATTACAATCAAACTTTACTCAAGGAAGCAACGTAATAGTTGGATTTTCTTTTTGTGTGAACATTTTAAGGTAAATCTTGAAACGTATTATTTTATATGATCAGACAATATAATTGAGTAAAAACTAAAATCGATATTGCCCTAAATGAATTTGTCTAATTTCGCTATTGCAGAGAAGGGCAATGATCAAATAGAAAAAGCTATCGTTGAGATGTATTTTTTTCCATAACACAAGATTAAATTTGTTGAAATAATTACCTGGTCCAATATGAGCAAACCCCAAGCCAGATACTTGTAATTGCTTGTTAAGTCCTCTTTAGAACCGGGCAAGACATAACCTCTGAATATGTGGAGCAGATTGTATATAGCAGCAGCAGAATCAATCCATACCAAAACACTGAACACAGAATTACAAAACAACCTTATAAGATTTACTATGATACAAATTCTTGTTCAAAGCATAGGCACATACAGAAATGAGGCACGTGTTGAAGACTAAGTTTGAACAGTTATCAACGATATAAGATTTTAGAAGCAGTGCTTCAACGTGATCATGCATAGATGTTGAATTTAAATTCTCGAAAAATTGAAAAAGAGGTGAATGGAACTTACAATAAGGCATTCAAGTCCCTAAAGGTTGCTTTTCGGGAGATTGTATAGAAGAGAAGTTTAGTTTGGGTATCGAATCCCACTAGACAGGCCGTCAGCACCAAGAACACAATCGCAAGAACCCTTAAAAAAGCCTCCTTTCTCCCAATTAAACCCATTTTGAACAGCAAATCTCGATGAAACAAACGTACTCCCCCTAACTGTTCAGTGTGTTGTAAGGAAACTCGACTCAAATCTCTCAAGAGAGAAAGTGGACACAGAAAGAAGAGATGGACAGAGGGGACTGGGTGCATTAATTGAATCTCAATTTAAAAGTTTCCTAACTCCTAACCTATCCATTATTAACTTTATGGTCCAATGCATTTGGCGTTTAGTGTGAACTTCCGACTGATATGGTCCAATGCATTTAGTGTGAACTTACAGCAAAATCCCTCTTATAAATTAAAGTCTATGCCGTCCGATGGTTGTGTTCAAGGTAACAGGTTGCACCGAAACTTTGAAAATGGTAAGAGTTTTTGGTTTCGACGAATTTTAAAAGGTTTCCAATTTTCTTTATTAAAATTTCATAATTGTAAAGAAAGATTAAGAATACTTTTCATCTGAGTAATAATGGAAACTAATAATAAAAAAAAAATTCAAAATCCTTGATTAGGAATGACAATTAATTCAAGACGTTGAACTATAGTAATGACATTTAACTATGAAATTCACCAAAGAATTACTCTTAGTTGCCAGACTTAAATTCTTGTCCGAAATTTTTTGTTATATACAGAGTTTCCTCATGTCATGTTAGGTGTTCCATTTTGCGTCCAATCTTGATTGTACATCAACGACCAAATCCTGATGTCTTTTGAGTGTAGGAAAAAAGTACTTCTTGTGTGAAAACATGACAATTAATGGTGCAGGCTTAAATTTTTCTTCTTCCATATGCAAACGAGTACAAGTTTGTCAAGTTGTATATAATTGATTGACATTTATGAAGATGCAATTTTTAATGAAAATATTATATAGTTCGTATTTGGTGGGGATTAAAATTAAAATTTTAATCTAATAGAATATGATAATTAAACTATTACGATGAATAGTACATGAAAAATAAGCATATTGTTTTGTGTTATTTTGCAAAATAATTCTTACTTTACTTCCCACGGAGCCACAAGCTATATCAAAATGTCAACCGTTGGCCCGTTAGACACTTTTATATTCCAAAATTTATATCGTGTTATAATTATATAATACAGTAAACGTAATTAATGTAGCACAATATGGATAAGAAAGTCAACATAAATGATCTGGTGTACGCCGAGCGTGACTGTTTTTCTTTAGGGCAAAAATATGCGCGCTAACATTGTCTTGAACTACAAAAGATTACTATATAGAAGATACACAAGGAAAGAAATAAGAATACGAAGTATCATATCTTTCTCTTCAAAAAAGGATAATAGAGAATGATCGCTTGAAGTGGGCCAAAAAGGCTTGCAAGTAAACCCAAAAAAGAGCTGAAGTTACCCATTCAAGGCCCAAATATAATGGATAAGTCCATGAAAGGGGAATGGTTAAGATGAAAACAAAACAAAATCCATCTAAATGGGCTGATCAACCACAAAAACTCGTAAGAGATGGAAGCATCAAATGATATAATTCATATAAAATGTTTGTGTGCATTCCAAAATGTAGTCTACAAGTAGACATACATGTTACCTAATCTAAAAGGTGATTGAACTGCATTTTATATTCAGTATGTCCCATTACATCGTTCAAAATAATTTTTTTTCATGAAAAGCTTTACATATTCTTTTATTTAATTGAGTAGGTGTGAGATTTGAATGAAGCCATTACGTTTGACTCTAATACCATGTTGACTTCTTTATCTAAAAATTTTGCCTTCATTTGGCCAATTTACAAATGGTTTATGAAGATGAATATTAAGAAAAATAGCAGTACATCTCTCATGAAATGTGCAGATAATAAATAGCAACAACGAATTTGTGGTTGAAATTAATATTTGACTTAATTTATAAATTGGAATTCAAAAATGGAGGTTTAACTATTTAAACAATTAGAGATGACTATACATTAGGGATGTCGAAGGGGCAGAGTCGTGGCAACCTCCCCCGCCCCCGTTACTCCGATTAATTTCCCGCTCTGTTACCATCAGGGGCGGAGCCAGCTATGGTCCNAGTTCCTATTATTAGTTGCAGGGGCGGAGCCAGCTATGGTCCAGTGTGGGCACAGGCCCACACTGGACTTTTGGGCTCAAAGTTTTTTTTTAGTTATATGTTAAGTCCAGGCCAAGAAGATAGCCCAAAATCACCAAATAACTACCCACCATCCCAGGCCCATCCTTCCAGCCCAATCCCCAAAAATTAAACCCCAATTCAATTCGGTAGAAGATTAAGCTTTAGCCATTAAGAATCGAACGCGAAGTTCATCTGCAGTTGAATCTCCTCGAGCTCGAATTGCACGAAAACTTCAGAAATTAAACAAAATTCTGATGAGATGTCATCGACAGACCCGTTCCCACCCGTGACCCTTCTACAATTGAAATTCCCAAATCTGAAATCCCAAATCTGCTCCGCCTCCGCGCGACCGCACCGCCTCCACCTCCGGCCCTCTCAATCTCTCGAGTCCTTGTGGTTGTGGTGTGGCTCGTTCCCCTTACCGTTGCTAAAATTATAGTTTTATTCCAAACAAAATAACAAATGAACAGTGGCAGCAGAGGATATGGTTGAACAGAGGTAGAGTTTTCAGTTTCCCACTAATTTTCTCGACATTTTTCATTGAACGAAGCTCTTTTTTAACACTAATTTGAACATTTTTTGTACTAGATTAGTAGATTAATCGATTTCGTGCCCGATTGTGAAGCACCCGACCTCGGATTTTTTGGCTTCTTTCTCTAGAGAATCATCTATCTCCGTAAGTAAGCTCGACACTTTTATTTACTTGATGAATGGATGGAAATTTATTTATTTTCCTATACGTACAGAATGATTATATGCGGTTCTGGTGGTGTAGTCGTGTAGAGATTCAACTCTTAAGTTTGTTATCGGTTATGAATTGAAATTTGGGTATTATTGAGTAGAAGTTGCTGAAATTTGGGTATTATTGAAATGAAATTGCTGAAATTTGGGAGTTGTTGAATTGAAATGGTTGAAATTTGGGTGTCCGTTGAATTGAAATGGTTGAAATTTGGGCGTATGTTGAATTGAAATTGTTAAAAAAAACGATATCAAAATATGAAAACTCGAAAGGAACAAATGTAATTTATAAACTATGTTATTTTTAATATTGTCATATTATTGTTTTATATTTTTATTATCATTACATTCATGACAAAAATTTGACGTTCAACATCGATAAATTGTGCCCCTCCTGACCAAAAATCCTGGCTCCGCCCCTGCAGTTATCAATATATGTGAAAAACTTGACCAGTTATTAGATCTAAAATAATTGCATTCAATATGATGTAATAATTAAACAATAACTGAAAGATTGCTAGCTGACTCATGAGCTTAAGAAGTCTCTCCAGGGTAGAGCTTGGCTCATTTTCAACAACAAATGTTGAGCCTATCGAAATTTCGATTGACCCATGCTGTAAAAAGGTCACAAGTAGCCTCATGCAGTCACTTGAAGCCCCCATTGACTTCTGGGGATCAACTTAAAGTTGTGGTGCCTCACTTTCTTGATTTGACAGCACAAAAGTCACGGTTTATGGCCATGTTTGGTCCACATTATTTTTTATTCTCATTCTTCTACTATTTTCAACTACACATTCTTCAATAAAATAATATTTTTCATCATAGTAATAACTTTTATTTCTTTTTTAACCACATATTCCCCATCACATCAACAGCAAAAATGCATTATTACCTTCAAATTTGCACAAAATGGGGGCTATAATTTTCTATGGGAGTAAAGAAGTCACCTAGTGGCGAAATCTTATTATTAAATTATGCATTCACATAGCTTGCTCATCTCATTGACATGAGGTTACACTTTAGTACAAAATTGAAACGGCTCTAAGCTCATTTTTCTTTTCAAGTTTGTTGAAGAAAGACATTCTCCAAACCAAAATTATTGAAAATGTATAAATATTTTAAGTGCTTCCAGAAGATATTTCCTACTCGTTCCAATATGGAAGTTTATATGTTTAAATGGGAGCTTAAGGTCTTAATATGATATAATTTGGAAGTCGGTGCTTTTTCTAGTTCGCTTATTAGTCCTGACTTTGAATGATGATAGATACAGTACAACCTATATCCTGATATTGCTTCTCACTTAGTTCCACCAGAATGAATTAATGTATTCATTTCTTGTTTGCTCTGGACTCGTGTAGTATGGCAATTTGATTCAAAGGATGGAAGGACGTACAATTTCATCGCAGCTACAAGGTGAAAACTTGACATCACTTGGGAATGGCACAACACTAACAGATATTTCCCCAAATGATGACAACCGGGCCGTTTCTAGATCATTTTCTTATGATGCTGACCGGAGATACTTCCATTTGCAGCGTGATGGCTTAGTCTCAAAGATAGAGAAGTCGGTGATTCATTTTCAGGAAGATTCACTAAGTCGAGATACAAGTGCTTGTGATATTTGTTGGAGTTGTGACATTTTGTATGAATGAGGTGATTTTTAAAGTTCAGTGATGAATGAGGTTGCAGTTTCAAAATTCAGTGGCTATCCACTTAGTTTTTAAAGTTCAGTAACCTGGTGGAAACTTTCGATAAAGTTCAGTAACTATTGGGGTAATTAACCCGTAGTCTAACAGTGAAACTTCTATAATAATAATAATTAAAAAAAAGTATTGTCTGATTTTGACATTATATAATACGTGCCTATCAGACAAAATTATTTTTAAAACTTCAATAGGGTCGTTCTTATTGATGTAGATCTCAATAGAACATTTTCGAAGTATAGATACCTTTATAATCCACTCTTCAAATACATTCAGCTGCCTTATAAAGATATAGTTGCAATCTTTGTTTGGTGACATGAATCTTACAAATATGAAAACAAATTTAAAATATGACAACAAAAGTATACATTAACAAATTTGTTAGAACGTTAAGTTGAGCCAAAGCCATCATAAACGGAAAAAAGTTAATATTTTTCAAATTACACCAACGACTTGACTCATTTTGTTGATCTATTGATGAATTAGATTTCGTTTCTGTTAGTATTTTCGACGATAATGTACCCCTATGTGTTGTTTCTATTATAAAAAAGTGATTGATATGTTAGTTTAGTAATTTATTTATCAATATTGAGAAAAATTATATAGCAAATATAAGACATATCATACAAATATAATATCATACAACACATGTCTTTATCAATAATGTGATTGTACCCAGATACCAATATAATACAACGACTTATGTTAATTACAATTAACATTTCAAAATTTGTTTAATACTGAAAATTGGGTAAATATGAAAAAAATTCTCAAATGATTTTATTTATTGTATAAATTAGTCAACGACCAGTATCAAGTGGTTGATGTTCACGTTTCAAAAAACACCTAATTTCCAAAGCTTAATATAATTACACATATGCTAATGTCCCATCATCTCACATAAAAGTATTTATTAAATCACGTTTTAATAAATAATAAAAAACAAAATATAAAATATAAAATTAGAAATATTAAAAATATAAATCGTCAAGCTAAAAATAAGTCACATTGGTGGAAAGAAATTTGCATTTAGATATCTAGCCAAAGATGGCTCCACAAGTTCATAAATATGAATAAAAAAAATTAGTGCATATTTGCAAGAATATGATGAGACAACAATACTGTTGGACTGCCATGTGCTTGGGACATCCCAAACGGATGCAAACCAAGCTTAACTAATCGAAAAAAAAAAAACTTCACAAAACTCGTCTACTTATAAGTAACTTATGTTCATTATTTAGATGGATATTATTAAAAGAATTTTTTAAAAAATATATAGAAGAAAAAAGAACTACATCTTCTTTTTAGCATATTCAAAAATTTCGTTAAAAACCAAAACAACCTTGTTTTTTTTCTATAGAATTTATCTCACGCAAATCGATTTCTCCAAAACTCCAATACCCAACATGAATACATTCACACACATAAACATTATCTAAGCCATTTTCGAGTTTTGAGAAGTTCTAACCACAACAAAATTGCTTTCATTGACAACATATCTTAAATGAGAAATGTTGATTTTTATAGCTATAATGATCTTAATTATGTTTATTACATAGTGTATATACTAATAGAAAGTAGCCATGCATCTCCACCCTCATTTATTTACATTAATTATTAATTATAAAAATTACCATCTCATTCCTTTTCACGTGCTCTCCATTAGCTGGAAATTCAAAAACGTAGTCTCAACAAACTTCCTCAATCTTCCTTTTGATAGCCCAAGAATAGCTAACCAAGAGGGGGTAAATTGATTTTTAAAACTTTTAGAAATATTAATCTAAAATCAAGCACGTAATAACTAGATGGATTCATTCAAATAATAAGTACGAATATGAAAGTAATAAGTTCTTGTGGTGCAATCCAATCCTTTACAAAGTTTTCACTAACTTACAAACAAGGAACACCTATCATTATACAACATGGAGCTTTAAGTGACCTCAACAAGACCCACAAATTTAAAAAAAATTGATTTTACAAATTGAAACTTCTCTCTTAATAAATGATATAATCACAATTAAGTACCAAGAGAGAAATACGCTAATACTTTAATAAATGTCAATGAATGAAACTCAAGTGTTAGGTATGAAAAACTTTGATATTTAGAATGATTTTCAAAAGTTAATTTGATAAAAAAAATTTCAAAACTAAAATGATTTGATAATAATAAATGATATGAAAAATCAATACAATTTTGCTCAAAAGAATCTCACTTGAATGCTCTTAAATTATATTAATGAACGACAACTGAGTTGATATTTATAACAGTTGAAAACGTGAAATTCTTTGCCAAACCGGACGATCATCCGGACATCCGGAACAGTACCGGACGACTGAATAGCCGTTACTTCGTCAAAAATCAGAACGGTCGAAAACTTGACCGTTGGAGGTAAACCGGATGTCCGGTTCACATTCGGATGTTTGGATGGACATAAATGTCCTAAGTGATGCTAATATGATTGAAAATTACGTTGAAACTCTTATCTTTGAAAAAAAAAAGAAAATTTGTGCAAACATTTTACGAAGTAAATTTTATCGTGCATAAAAATTTGTCACTTGAGCTTTCAATGAGTCATTGCTAAGGATTAAAGTATTTTACCTTTACACGTGAGATCAAACATATAGTTCAAATATTTTCGATTGATTTGTCACGAGTGCACGATTTGTTGCTCGATTTGTCTCTGATTGTTTTGGCTCAAGTGCTCAATTTGAGAATGCTCGATTGTGAATGCTTTATTTCCATCTTGAACTTTCTTGATCGTCACCTCACATCTTTTGGTAGCAATTGTTTTGTCTCCAATTTGATCAAGTTCGCAACATGTAACAATGAAGACTTGAATACAAATGTTACAGATGAAAATACTTTGTTTGTTATAATCAAAACATAAGATTGATCATAGGTCAACAATTTTCCCTATTTTGATTATAACGAACAAACGATGATTTGCAATAAGAAAAATATTTTATCTCATATGATTCGTACATTGCTATACCATTCTCCCTATCTTTTGTAGATCGAGTATTCATATGATATTGTTCCCCCTTTCTTATACAAGTCAAGTATGCATATCATCGTACATATATTTTCCCCCTTTGGCATAAGCAAAAAGAATACGAGTAGGGAATTAAGACAACCATAGGCAAAAAGAATGAAATATAAAGCATTATCCAAAGCAAACCGCAAAAAATTGCAATCATAGGGAAATATTCATCTTGAAGTAAACCAAATCATAAAGAAACATTAATCATGAAGCGAAAAGAAATATCAATCGTAAAGCAAATAAGGTAATATCCATCATGAAGAAAAATAACGACTACAGCTCCAAAGGAGGCAGAGGAGGAAAGTGGGCATATAAATGGGTGTAGAAGGCATTCTGCTGAGCTTGCATCGCTGCCTCTTGTGCTTGAATGACTTCTTGTTGAGCTAGTATGACGGCCTGTTAGGCTTGCATATGATGGAGCATCCTGTCGAGGCCATCAACCAAGAATGTGAGGAAGTCAATGCGGCCATTCAACATGTTCTATTGATCCTCGATAAACGTGAAGCCACTACCCGAAGATCGAGGGATACTAGAGCCCGAAATGTCGTGAGGAGGAATATGAGCTTTCGATACGTCATCGTCGTCACCATCGTCATCTCCTTCAAATGGTAGAGTCGAAAGACCTGAGGTGGGGTCGAACCCCTTGGTATGTGTCACCTACTGACCATGTTCTTTACTAATTTTCATACATTTAAGAGTTTGAATGTTTATAGTGTCGGTGGGTCGAAGTTAGATAAATGTCTTATCATCCAACGAAACGTTAAGGTGTTTAAAAATTTTCGTGAGAAGCATGTAATATGGTAAAGTTGTAACGTATCGTGAGGAATTGACAAACTTTATGAGTTCTAATGTAATGGTAGGAAAAATCAAGTTTCCTATCGACAAGAAAAGAGTCGAGAAGAAAGAGATCAAACGAACTCACTTCATCCCGATGATCCTTTCATGGTATGATAACATTTTTAATGATGTTTCATAAAACCTTGCCTGGAAGAGTCAATTGATTTGCACTATTGTGATATTTTCAAAAAATTTCTCGATGACACGACGATAAGCTTCGGTAGGGTCATATCCGTTTAACATGAGATGTGCCTTGTGAAGAAAAATTTGTGTTTCACACACCTCAAGCTCTAAAATGTCACGAATGAGAGCTTTGTTTATGACAATGCGTTTATTTTTAATCAAACATGAAATGTCACCGGAACGGGAAGTAATAGACATGTTTTTGTAAAATTCTTTCATGAGTCGTGAGTATGCATGCTCTTTTAAAGTTGTAACAGAAATCTAACCCATATTTTCAAAAAGTTCTTCTATATGAAATGCGGGTGTTTCAATAGTAAAATCCGTAAAATCAACATTTTTACATATTAAAATGGGGGATTTTTCAAATGAATTGGCCGGCACCTCGGGTTTCGAATCAAACTCTTTTTCGAAGGATGGTGAAGGAGATCGCCTCACCGTGCTCTTATGCCTTTTTTCGTCTATTTTTGAGTCAGACATAGTTGAAAATTGAAAATAAAAGTACAGAGAGACTAGAGTTTTGAAATTTTGGAGAAATTGGAATGTAGTGGATGAAATTGAAAATTTCTTAAGGAATTGAGATGTAGAAGTATTTTGATTTTTATGGGTAATTGATGATTTGAGATGGAAGATTGAGTGATGGAGAAGAGAATTAGGGAGAGAAAAGTGGAAGAAAATGGAAGATAAATTAATCTGTTCGCAATTTTAAAGCTGATGTTATGCAGAATCAGTCGTTCGGACGGTATGGTTCAATACGAATGTCCGGTTTCTCGTTCGGATCCCCCATTTTTAATTATTAAACATACTAAATCATGTAAATATGGTGCACATGAATAATGAGATGAAAACATATAAGTGCATGTAGTTATGAACTTAATCATGTACTTCAAATTTATCAATAATGCCTAAACCTCTTCTAATATGTAAGAATCAATCTAGAGCCAGAGGTTTTGTGAAGATATCGGCCAATTAATTTTTTTATTTACAAATTCTAACACAATATCACTATTTTGAGCATGGTCTTTTAGAATGTGATGTCTAATTTCAATGTAATTCGTCCTAGAGTGCAAAATATGATTTTTAGACAAGTTTATTGCACTAGTGTTGTCACACATAATGGATATATGATCGACGGATAAGTGATAGTCACTAAGAGTTTGTTTTATCTATAGAACTTGTGCACAACAACTAGCAGCCAAGATATATTCGACTTCAGAGATTGACAATGCAACAAAATTTTATTTATTACCAAACTATGATACAAGTGTAAAGCCTAGAAAATGACACATTCCGTTAGTTCTTTTACGATCGACTGTGCACATGACCCAATCGGCATCTGAATATCGGAGGGGGAGTGGCGTGGTGGGACGGGGTGGGATGAGGGTGCCCCACCCCGAACCCGCCCCATTGCCATCACTATGCGAGTGCTTTTGGGATATCAAAACCCTAAAGTTCTAGTGCCACTAAGATATCTAAAGATTCGTTTAAGAGCCTTAAGATGAGATTTTTTAGGATTTGATTGAAATCCAGCACATAGATACACACTAAACATAATATTGGGTCTATTTGCTGTTAAGTAAAGAAGGGATCCGATCATACCTCGATATTTTGTTATATCAACGGACATGCCTTGATCGTCCTTGTCCAATTTTATGGATGTACTCATAAGGGTGTTCATTGGCTTCAAGTCACCCATGTCGAACCTTTTGAGCATGTCCAATAAGTACTTATTTTGATTGATGAAAATTTCATCACGAGTTTGCTTAATTTGGAGACTGATGAAGAATTTAAGTTCTCCCATCATGCTCATTTCAAATTCCATGTTCATGCACTTAGAAAATTCTTCACAAAGATAAATATTAGTAGCACCAAATA